ACAATGACCACTCTGTGTTTCATCTTGGGGATGATGGCTGGTCATGTTTCTTCATCATTTGCAGTAGCTGGCAGCTCTGCAGTCTCTACTGGTGCTGCAAGAGGTTTGTACCTGTTGCAGAGATCCAGTGGGGTGATGATCCTGATAGTGAGCTTTCAGGCCAGAGAGAACCTCTGTCCAGCCCTCTGGAGGGACAGTATGGGAGTGCCTCTTGGCCTCCCTGGTCCTGGCAGGTGACCTAGGTTGCTCACCTGTCCTGGGGTGAAGGGCCTGGCAGTAGGAGTCAGTTTCCTGTTTGCCATCCCTAGGCACACAGCCTCTGTGCCACAATCTGGAGCTCCACTATGTGGGATCTCAGAGACTCCAATATGGAGTAAACCTCACAAGAGGAGGTTGCAATGCTCCTGATCCCATGTGCCTGGAGCCGTGCCAGGTAGGCCCTGCAACTGAGAGCCGGGGCTCCATCTGGAGGCCAGAACTATGGGTTCCATCTGGGTGGAGGCCTCAGAAGTCCTAGGGGAGAGGGATTCAGCTGCATGGGGGAACCTTGGGGTGTGACGTGTCCTACCCACCATTGTGCTGGTAGTAGTTAGGCTACTGTTGTGCCTGCTGCTCTCTTGAGGTTCTCTGCCTAGGGCCTCAGGACCCTCCTGTGCAAACTTTCATGATAACTCATGCTCTGGGCCTAGAAGCATGCCTGTTTTTGCTTTTTTTTTTTTTTTTTTGCACGGCTCTGGTCGCATGGTTCCCTGGGGGGCTGGGTGAAGTAGGAGCCAGGGAAAGGTGTAACACTCCTCGACTTCTCTCACCTACCTCCCTGCAGCTGAGCTAATTCCCTCCCACCATGGGCCCCTGCTTACCTCTGGCTAAGCTGGGGGTCATCAGGGGTCCTGGGAGTCCTGCTGGGTGCCCTGGGGCTTGTGGGAGTACAACAGGCTTTCACCTGTGCATCTCACTCTGGAGCTGGGGGCCAAGTGTGGCTTCTGCTGTTGGCAGGCCATTTTAAATTCTGCACATGCACAGTAAGGTCTGCTGGCAGTGCACCGCTCTTGGGGGGCTAGAGAGTCCCTCCCACACTGGAGAAAGGGACAGGTGAGTGCTCCCTCTTTCCCTGCCTCACTCACTGGGCGTCACTGGTTGTGTGACTCCCTGGGGGGCTGGGCCAAGTAGAAGCAGGGGGAGTGACCCTCCTTGGCTCCTCACAGCTGCCTCCCCACAGCTGGGTTAAGTCCCTCCCACCATGGGCCCCTGCTTACCTCCAGCTAGGCTGGGGGTTGTCAGGGGTCCTGGGGGTCCTGTTGGGGTCCTGAGGGGTACTGGGACTCATGGAGGCACAACAGGCTTCTGCCTGTGCATCTTGCACTGGAGCTGGGGACCAAGTTTGGTAAGACAAGACCTGCCCACAGTGAAGCCATGCTGCCTCTTGTTCAGAATCCTACCTTCCGTAAGCGTATCACACATAGACTCCTTGATAAATTTCTCCAGGATTTTCCATGGAATAGAAGTTAGGCTAACAGGCCTATAGTTGCCTGGGTCCTCTCTCCTCTCCTTCTTGAAGATGAGAACAACATTGGCCCTCTTCCAGTCTTCAGGGACCTTCCCTGAGTCCCATGAGTTTTGCCAGAAGTCCTGTGATGACCTGGGCCAGCTCCTTCAGCACTCTCAGATGAAGTTCATCTGGTCCTGCTGACTTATAGATGTCTAACTTTTCTAAATGATCATGCACCAGCTCATCATCAGCAGTAGGAAGGTGGTTATTCCCACCGTGCCCACTCTGAACTTTATCTAGTATAGTCCCACGCATCCATTTGTTTTCCTCCTGTTCCCTACATACCTAAAGAAGGACTTATTATTGACCTTGATGTCTGTTGCTAGTTTAAATTCAGTCACTGCCTTAACCTTTCTAATCTGCACCCTGCAAGTGCAGTCCATCATTGTATAGTCCTCCTTGGGGATTGTCTCAAGCGTCCACTGTTTGTATGCCTCTTTTTTCTTTTTCAAGAGAACCATGATACCCCTATTAAGCGAAGACCAGCCCTTCTGCTATCTTTCCTCTGCATGAGAATGGGCTTCTTTTCTGCTTTGAGGATCATGTCCTTGAGAAATGACCACTCTTCATGCACTCTTTCCACCTTTGGTCTCTGGTCCTGCAGCACTTCCCAGCAGCTTCTCCCAGATTCTTCCAGTGGCGCACAGCCACACAGAACTAAGCCCAGTGGCAGGAAGCAGAATGCAGCACTGGAGCTGCACTCTGCCTCCCACCCCCAGGCACAGCTCCCAGTTGCTCACAGCCCCAAGGAACCCAGACCAGTGGTGGGAGGTTGCCAACCTTGAACTCCACCTCCCACTACCAGGCTCAGCTCCAAGTGGCTCGGAGCACCATGGAACTCAGCCTGGTGGCAGGAAACAGAACACAGAGCTGGCCCTGTGGTCTACCTCCCACCAATGGGCTCAGCTCCAAAAGGCTCACAGCCCCATGGAACTCAGCCCAGTGGCAGAAAGCAGAGTGAAGCGCCATCTCTGCCTGCCTCCTGCCACTGAGCTGAGTTCCATGGGGCTGGTGGAGGCAATCAGAGTGCAGTCCAGTGGTGGGAGGTGGGTAGAGCTGGCACTGTGCTCCAATCAGCTCCACCAGCCCCATGGAGAGCAGCCTGGTGGTGGGATGTGGGGATAGCCAGAGCTGCACTCTCCACATGGGCCTGCGAGCTGCTTGGAGTGCAGCCCTGGCTCTCCCCTTCCTCTCACCACTGGGCTGCTTCAAAGCTCAAAATGTTTCAAAACTTTTGAAATGTTTCGAGTGCCCTCGTTTCATTTCAAAGCTGTTTCGATGCTTTTTGTTTCATTTTGATTTTGCTGTTTCAAATTTGAAATACATTGAAACAGCGTCACAACAAAACACTAAGTGAAATTTTGTACAGCCCTAATCCCTACCATTGGTGTGGATCTTCTGAGGGAGCATCTTGAGAGGCTGTACTCCCATAAATCAGATGGTCCAGGCAGGTTGCACCCAAGAGCGCTAAAGGAACTAGCAGATATGAAAACACAGCCATTGGCAAGGATAGTCAAGAACTCATGATGGTCAGACGAAGTATCTGAAGATTGGAAGAAGGCCAATGTGGTTCCCACCTTCAAGAAAGGGAGGAAAGAAGACCCAGGAAACTGTAGGTCAATCAGTTTGACCTCGATCCCTGGGAAGATTTTGGAAAAAATTATCAAAGAAACCATTCTAGACAGGATAAAATAAGGCAACAGTCTGAGGGATAGCCAGTATGGGTTTGTTGAGGGTAGGTCTTGCTTGTCCAATCTCATTTCCTTCTGTGACCAGGTGACATATCACCTGGACAAAAGGGAAGAGGTTGATGTCATATATATGAAATTTTAAAAAGCCTTTGACCTTGTGTCCCATGATGTCCTCATGGAAAAATTGGGCAACTGTGGCCTCGGCTACTCCACAGTCCAATGGCTGGGGAACTGGCTCCAAGGTCAGACCCAGAGAATGGTAGTTGATGGAACTGAATCAACATGGCATACAGTGACTAGTGGCATCCCACTAGGCTCCATTTTCAGACCTGTATTCTTTAATGTTTTCATAAACAATCTGGACACCGGTGTCAGAAGTGGACTGGCTAAATTGTTGATGACATCAAACTTTGTGGAAGAGTGTCCACACTTGTTGACAGGCTGGTAATCCAGGCCAACCTTGACAGGCTTGCAAGGTGGGCAAATGAAAACCTGATGGCATTCAACATGGAAAACTGCAAGGTGCTCTACCTCAGGAAATAAAACCTGAATTACACGTATTGGCACAGCAATGCTACACTGGCTAGCACCAAGATTGAAAGAGACTTGGGGGTCATGATTGACCGCAAGATGAATATGAGCCACCAATGCAATACCACAGCTGGCAAAGCGAACAAAACTCTGGCTACCATCTACTGATGCATCTTGAGCAAGACCCAGGATGTCATCCTCCTGCTGTACTCAGCCTTGGTGAAGCCACAGCTGAAGTACTACATCCAATTCTGGGCTCCACAATTTGGGAAAGACTTGGAGAAGCTTGAAAGAGTCCAGAGGAGAGCCACACCCATGATCAGAGGGCAAGAGACCAGGCCTTATGAAAAAAGGCTGAGAGCTATGGGACTCTTCAGCCTGGAGAAGCGCAGGCTCAGGGGTGACTTGGTGCCAGGCTATACATACATAAGGGGTGTATAACTGGATCTGGGGGAACACCTGTTTGCCAGAGCACTCCAAGAGATGACAAGCTCCAGTGGTCACAGACTCCTGCAAGACTGTTTTAGGCTGGACATAAGGAAAAACTTCTTTACTGTCTGAGCCCCCAAGGCCTGGAACAAACTCCCCCCAGAGGTGGTGCAAGCACCTACTCTGGACACTTTTAAGAAACATTTGAATGTTTATCTTGCTGGGATCATTTGACCCTAGCTCACTTCCTGCCCCTTGGGCAGGGGGATGGACCCGATTATCTTATGAGGTCCAAGGTCTTCCAGCCCTAATGTCTATGAATCTATGAAAACTCATCTCCTTCTATGACCAGGTATCTCTCCACCTATGTAAGAGAGAGGAGTTTGACATTGCATACCTAGACTTCCAAAAGGCCTTTGATCTGGTATCCCACGATGTTTTCATAGGGAAATTGGAGGATGCAGGCTTAATTGCTCGACAGTTAGGTGGGCAGGAAGCCAGCTGTGCGGTAGGACCCAGAGAGTTTTAATGAACGGATCTGTGTCATCCTGGTGAGAAGTGGCCAGTGGTGTTCATCAGGGGCCCATGCTTGGTCCATTGCTTTTCAACAACATTATCAATGATCTGTATGTGGGGGTGAAAAGTTCACTGGCCAAGTTTTACAGATGACACCAAGTTATGGGGGAGCATGTTCATGCTTGAAAATAACTTGAATATACTGGTGGACCTAAACAGCCTAGCAAGTTGGGTGGATTGGAATGAGATGAAGTTCTCTTCACCAGGGCACCACTGGGGGAAACCAGGAGTAATGGCAACAAACCCCTGGAAGAGCATTTCAGGCATAACAGTAGGAAAAACTTCTTCACAGTTAGGGTGTCCAGACTGTGGAATAAACTCCCTCCAGAGGTGGTACAATCATCTATCCTGGAAAACTTCAAGAGGAGACTGGATGTTCACTTTGACCGTGACCCCAGTTGTCTTTCCTGCCTAGTGCAGGGGTCCTGGAGCTGATGATCATGCTAGGTCTCTTCTAGCCCCTTACAATCTATGAATCCCTGAATCTATGACTTGGCACCTTGGCTGCACTCCCGGCTTCACCAGAGGAGGGTAGATGTTGGGGGCTGGGGGGGGGAAGCAGGCAATTCACCCTCCCACTATGTCATAATGGCTTAAAAGAGGGCTGTGACCACAGTGGGGTGGCCTGTGACTGCTTTTCCTTCTCTGGATGCCCCTTTCTTTCCCACCCATCCCCTTCCCTCTCTGGGGGTTCTGCACTTCCCCCATGTGGCAGCTGAAAAATATGTCTGTGCAATAAAAGTGCTTGCTGAAGGCCCTATGAAGATTAGACCAAATGTTTTTCTTTATTTGTTTAGATATTAAGCTGTAAATTGTTGCTAAAAGCTTAATTATAGTTTATGATGTAGTGAGGCCTTGTATAAAGTAAGGGCTAGTAAATTTAGCAAAGCCTAGAAGTAGTAAGGCCATGTGGCACAGTTAAAATTACCTTATCAAAGGAATGCAAGACTTGTACTGCTATTGGTTAGTCTAAGGACAGTTGAAGAAAAAGGAATCTAAGTGGTCGTACTTTATCAGTGTCTTTCAGAAGCTATAAATTAACTAAAATATCTGGAAACCATTCAGAAGGAAGATGCAGCTCTGTGAAAAGGATTAGTTAGCTGTTGCCTGGATCAGTGGGCCCGTGGACC